GCGGGGGCTGCCCCATGGACCCCCAGCGTCCTGGCTGCGGTCAGGGCAGTGTGGGCCAATCCCCCCGTGTGGGATGGGGGAGCTGCAGCCCCACATACCCCCTCGAGCCTCCGCTCCCTTTGCCGCGATGAACTGAACGAAGCCCAGCGCAGCCCCCCGAGATGGACTGGAGCCAGAAGCATCGCCTTTGGCTCCCATCCTGCCCTCCAGCTGGCCGTTCCCGGGCAGAACTGCCGGGAGTTCCTCCAGACAGGGAGTGTCTGCAGACCTTATCCCCCCACCCCGGCGCTGATCCGCTGTCTCACAGGGGGTACTCAAGGGATGCTGAGGGCAGCTGGTTCCGCTCCCTCTTCGTGCACAAGGTAGACCCCCGCAAGGATGCCCATTCCAACCTCCTCTCCAAGAAGGAGACCAGCAATCTCTACAAGATCCAGTGTGAGTGGCCCCACGGGGAGGAAGGGGCTGGGGGTGAGCGCAGATGGGGTCACCCTGCTGTGCTGGCCCCTCCTCCCCATGGGGGCCCCCCCGGCTGCTCTGCCTTGGCCCCTGCTCTCCCTCAGGGCCTCAGTTCCCACCCTGGCAGCCCCTCTCTCCTCTCCCTGCAGTTCACAACGTGAAGCCGGAATGCCTGGATGCCTACAACAGCCTGACGTGAGCCTCACTGTGTGTTGGGAGGGGCTGCCTGGCACCCTGGGGTGCTGTGGGGCTGCTCTGCAGTGAGGGGGGTGGGAGGGCTTGGGCAGAGCTCCTCAAGACCCCGGTCAGGTTTGTGCCCCTGCTCCTTGCTTCGCTGTCCCTTCCTGTGGAATGGGTCCTCTCCCTGGAGCTTCTCCATGTCCTGTTAGGGCAGACCCTTTGTGCTCACACCCCTCGTGCTGGGCTGGGAGGGCAAATGGGGGTATTGGGAGTGTTTTGGCGTGGCTGTCTGCCCCCACAGCTGCCCTCTCTGTGGCCCTGCAGAGAGGAGGTACTGCCCAAGCTCCACTCAGATGCTGACTACCCCTGCGACCTGGTGGGGAACTGGAACACGTGGTACGGCGAGCAGGACCAGGCAGGTGAGGCAGCAGCTCCCGGGGCTGCGGGGCTGAGAGCACGGCTGAAGGCCTCGGCTCGTGCCACGGACTGGCTGCCAGGTGCCAGGTGGGGTTTTGGGGGTGCTGCTTCCCTTCCCCAGCCCCATGCTCTCCTTCCAGTCCACCTCTGGCGCTTCTCGGGTGGGTACCCGGCGCTCATGGACTGCATGAACAAGCTCAAGCAGAATAAGGTACTGCCGGGATCGGGGTGAGCCACACGAGCTCTGCCCCTCGCCTCTGCCTGCCCTTCCTGGCCCGGGTCGCGCTTGCCCCCACCCCGAGACCCTCGGCTGGGGCTGTCCCCAGGAGTACCTGGACTTCCGCAAGGAGAGGAGCCGGATGCTGCTGTCCCGCAGGAACCAGCTGCTCCTGGAATTCAGCTTCTGGAATGAGCCCCTTCCCCGCCAGGGCCCCAACATCTATGAGCTGAGGACCTACAAGCTGAAGGTGAGCGGCCGTGGGGGGCCAGCCTACACTTCAGGGTGGCCTTTGGGTTGATATGGCCCTGAGGCAGGGGTTCTGCCTGGTATTTTGGGGGGCAGCTTCCCAAATTCCTCCGTCCTTGGTGAGGAGACCTCGAGCCCAAGGAGCAGACAGGATCTGGCTGCTCATTCTTTTTTCTCCTTTATTTCCAGCCAGGGACCATGATTGAATGGGGTAACAACTGGTAAGTGACTGTTTTCCCAGCACGGAGGGAAGCAGGGTGCAAAAAGGTCCCCCTGGAGCAGGGGGACCCCTCGGGCACCCCTCCACACCCCTCGGCATGTTCCTCTGTCTGTGTACCAGGGCTCGGGCCATCAAATACCGGCAGGAGAACCAAGAGGCGGTCGGCGGGTTCTTCTCCCAGATCGGGGAGCTGTACGTCGTGCATCACCTCTGGGGTAGGTGGGCTCCCCGTCACCCCCTGCATACCCCCACCGTGGGGGCTGGGTGCCCCGGGTGCCAGCCCCGTCCCCTCCCCACAGCCTACAAGGACCTGCAGTCCCGGGAGGAGACGAGGAACGCGGCCTGGAGGAAGAGGGGCTGGGATGAGAACGTGTACTACACGGGTGAGCAGGACCCCCTGCCTGCGCTGGAGACCTCCTGCCTGCACTTGGGACCCCCGCCCTCACCTCTCGCTTCCCTTTCCAGTCCCGCTCATCCGGACCATGGAGTCGCGGATAATGATTCCCCTGAAGATCTCACCCCTGCAGTGAGGGGTCCGC